GCTGGCTTCCAGTTTCAGAGTTCAGTCCATTATCATCATGGCAAGGAGCATGGTGGCGTGCAGACAGACATGGTGCTGGCTGCATCTTGATTAGAGGGCAACAGGAAGCATACCGTGACACTGGGCAGTATCTTAAGCAGAGGAAACCTCAAAGTCTGCCCCCACTACGTTCAACAAGGTCATAACTACTTCAACAAAGCCACACCTCCTCATAGTGCTGTTCCCTATGAATTTATGGGGTCAGTTACATTCAAGCTACCACAGGAAGCCTCTCTCATGGAAACAAGTACTAAGGGAATCCAGAAGTGGTGGCTTGAATAGGTATGGCCCCCAGAGACTCATGTGTTTGAATGCTGGCCCATAGGAAGTGGGACTATTAGGAGGTGTGGCCTTATTGGAAGAAGTGTGTCACTGTAGAGGTGGGCTTAGAGGTCTCATATGTGCTCAAACTATGACCAGTGTGTCACAGTCTCCTTCTGCTGCCTGTGGATCAAATTGTAGAACTCTCAGCTCTCTCTCCAACACCATGTCTGCCTGCTTGCTGCCATGTTCTGCCATTATGATAATGGACTAAACCTCTGAAATTGTAAGCCAACCCCAATTAAATATTGTCCTTTATATGAGTTGTGGTGGTTATGGTGTCTCTTCACAGTAATAAAACCCTAAATAAGACAGGCGACATCTTTGCATTGATGCAATATTGGAACTTCACAAAGATTAGTTTTCTAGTTACTGAACCATTCAACATCTTGAGGCTTCAGAATTCGCTTATTCCTGAGATATTCAAATAGCACATATTCTACAGCTGTATAGAGGGTATACCATAATGAGTGGAATTCACACACACACACACACACACACACACACACACACACACAAATTGGTATCTGATTTGTACCTCAAAGGAGAGAGTGGGGAAAGGAGAGAGTGTGAGTAGCTAAACTATGGTGAGAAGCACATTTCTTTTCCTCGGGAAAGAAAAGCATTCAGGATGGTTACCGTAGAAGGAAAAGTGGTAGGAGTTTTAAAACTGAAGGCTCATACAAATTCAATGCGAAAAGGACAACTCAAACAATGGACGAAAGATCCTAGTAGGTGTTGGTTAGGGTTACCATTGCTGTGATGAAACACTATGACCAAAGTAACCTGGGAAGGAAAGGGTTTATTTGGTGTATTTTATTCCACATCACTGTTCATCACTGAAGGAAGTCAGAGCAGGAACTCAAACAGGGCAGGAACCTGAAGGCAGGAGCTGAGGCAGAGGCCATGGAGGGGGCTGCTTGCTGTCTTGCTCACCTGTTTCCTTTTTCTTCTTTCAAGATTTATTTATTTTATGTGTATAGACATATCACCACATGAATTCCCTAAGCAGCTGCCATGTGGGTGCTGGGAATTAAACCTAGGTCCTCTGGAAGAGAAACCAGTGCTCTTAACGGCTGAGCCATCTCTCCAGTACCTCAGCTGTTTTCTTATAGAACCCAGGACCACCAGCCCAGGGGTGGCCCCACCCACATGAGCTGGGCCCGCCCACGTCTATCACTAATTAAGAAAATGTCCTATAGGCTTGCCTACAGCTGAGCTGATGGAAATAATTGCTTTATTGAAATACCCCCCTCTCAGATGACTCTAGTTTGTGTCAAGTTGACATAAAACTACCCTGCATAGTGGGCATTTCTCAATAGAAGACATGTAAGCAACTGACAGGCATATGAAAAAAATAAGACATATGGTATTTTACGTATTCAATCAGTAGATATCCAAATGGATGCCTGAATAAAGAAAATGTGATATATATACATAATGGAATTTTTTTCAGTCTTTACAAAGGAAATCAGGGCTGGAGAGATGGCTCAGTGGTTAAGTGCACTTACTGCTCTTGCAGAGGACAGAACCCACACAGCAGCTCACAACTACCCGTAACTTCAGTTCCTGGGCATCTGACATTCTCTTCTGGTTTCTGTGGACTCCTGCACACATGAGGTGCACATAAACTCATGCAGGCTCATGCATATACACATAAATAAAAATAAATAAGTCTTAACAGGCAATCTTAGCTAGGTGTGGTGGCATACATTTATGGTCCTATCACTTGGAAGGCTGAAGCAGGACTGACTTGTAGTCCAGACCAACTAGGGCTATATAGTGAGTTCCGGGCAAACATGGCCTGCACATGGAAACTTGTCTCAGCTCTAACACATTCTTTCTCCCTCTCTCCTCCCCCCCTCCCCCGTCTCTCTCAGGGTTGGGCACACAAAGGCAAATGTCACATTATCTCACAAATGGAATCTAAAACTGCAACGTTCATAAAGTAGAGTAGAAAGGAAGTTACCAGGGGCTAGTGAGAAATTTTGTTCAAAGGATACAAAATTTCAGCAAAAAAAGGAAAAAAGAACAATTGTACAGTATAGTAGTAACTATACTTTTTGCTGTCTATTAAATTATAAGTTTAAGAAATTCTCATTATTATTACCATTATCATCATTATTATTATATTATTATTAGTAGTAGTATTAATTGGCCAGGCTAGAGGATCAAACCTAGGGCCTTGGCAATAGAACACAAGTGTTCCCCATTGAACTATATTCCCAGCCCTCATCTAAGATCAGGGAATCTGTGTTTTGAACAGAAGGCCCAGGCAATATTGACAACTCTATAAAGGTTAATATTCCTCTACGATTAAAAGTGTTAGCAGAGGTGGTGTCTCAAGCATTTAATTCCAGCACTGAGGAGTGGAGCAGTAGACCTCTGTGAGCTGGGGCCAGTCTTTCCTACTATCAAGTACCAAACAGACAGAGTTACATGGAGAGACCCTGTCTAAACTAACAAATGATAAATGCCATTGAATTCCGTTTTTAAGAGAAAGAACGTGCCACGTCAAACTTGGAAACACACATACTAAAAACTCCTTTCTTGGGACCAGTAGGTAAAGGTGCACAAGCTTGATAGCCTGGTTCTATCCTGGGATGCACAGGTTGAAGGAGAGAACCCAGTTCTTGTAAGTTGTCCTTTAACCTCTACACATACACCTGACATTCATGCTTACACACATAGACAGACAGTATTTAAAAAAAAAAACAACACTTTTAAAGTACTCCTCTTGGAAATTCATACAATGCACGTTGACATATTAAGAACCCTGTGCTGAAAGAAAAATACTCAGCTTCCTCAGAATTTCCCAAGCTTATTTTTTTCTCTAGGGGAATCCTGCCAAGATTCCTCAGAACATCAATGCTGTGGAGCAAAGAAACAGAACTCAGTTTGTATACAGAACGATGAAGAAAACACATAGGAAAGAAAGCAATACTCCCCAGAACTAAGTCTAAAATCACCTACGATGCTCTGTTCCCCAAACAGATGTCCAGAGGCTGCCTCCCTCTCAAGTAATCCAAGGATGCTGTACTGAGATGTTTGGTCTGCAGCATAACGTGGCAATGGCAATTGGCAGTGGGCAGGAGTGCCCAGAGTTCAAAGCATCCAGACGCCAATACCAGGGGATGATGCCATATCATTATCACAATTGTATATTCTGCACATGATATTAACGATTACTTCTGAAAAAGAAAATCCCTCCCAGCACAAGTAGCCTCTAGTAGTGAAATAAAAGTGCATAAAGATAAGAATGAAGGATTTCCCACCCTTTGGAGACTCAGAACACCTGCCCAGGGGAGTTTCTGGGGAAACTCCTAGACAATACTGAACACCTCACTTCCTTTCTGATAACAAGGGACAGGAGAGGGAAACATGAGGGGACTAGACAAGTTGAGGCAAAGCCAGTATCCTGCCTGACAAACTGGTTTATGCACTGAATACTTCAAGATGCACCATAGTGCATCGATTTATGTCCTTTCTTTCTAATACTAGTTACATCTATACGTCCCTTCTCAAGTCGGGGACACCTCTCCATCTACGGCGATTTCAATGGGCCTCACTGTGTGCTTTTCATGCACATTCATCGTATACCTCACATGCTGTTTTGGGATCTCAGCTATCCCGGTAGCACAGTATTCACTCCTCTTAAAAATGTTTGCGGGTGCCCATGCAGGCTCCAGGCACTGTGCTAAGCACTGGAGCCACGGTCATGGAAACGAGATCCCATTCCTACTTTGCCTTGGCTGTAAAGCAAATGAATTCCTATCCAGCCTGTGCATACATGGGAATCCAATAGCTAGAAACGCTAAGAGGTGGGAAAGGCTGACTCCAAACCCTTGTGTTTTATGACTGCTCGCACAAGACAAGCCAACATATCTGTATTTCAGATGTTCCAGTCTGTCTAGCAGTTAATGGAGTTAACAGTAGGGCCTGCAACTGCAATAGGCTGTGGGTAGGGGAGACGAAAACGCCAGGATCTTTATTCCCCCGGGGTATGAGCCCCTGTGTGCTTTTCCTCAAATCATCTGTGGATTCCCATAATGGGATTTTCAATCTTGAAAGGTTAATACCAACAATAGTCATATCCCAATCAAGGCAGCCTTGCATGACAATAAACCAAAACCCAAAAAACTCTTATGAGGTTGATTAGATTTGAAGCCAAAAAGATCCTAGCTAACATTTTCCTAATACCCCCAAGCATGTGGAATGTGTACCACTGGAGTCCACAAAATCACAGATAGACCATAAATGACCTCTGCCCATTTCAATCAGATTCAGATATATAAATTTCAGATATATAGCTGATGGAATTCAGGGAAACACTGACATGGGTGCTTCCAGTATTCAAAGACAATGTAAGACTCACAGTATGAAAACTTTATCAGTTCGGAGGGAATGAGACAAAACTTTTTTTTTTTGAGTCAGGGTTTCTCTGTGGCTTTGGAGGCTGTCCTGGAACTTGCTCTGTAGACCAGGCTGGCCTCGAACCTAAGAGATCTACCTGCCTCTGCCTCCCAAGTGCTGGGATTAAAGGCATGCTCCACCAACGCCCAGCTGACAAAACATTTTTTTTTTAAAAACATAAAAGCAAAAACCACACAATCAAATTTCGAGGCCAGTTATACACTCACCAACACATGTTGGAAATATGTCCTCGTTGTTGATCTGGACTTCAATCCAATCCATAAGCAGGTTCATGTACTGGGGAGCTGGCAGTGCAGTTGGTTTCTTATACTTGAGGTCATCCTGCCACCGGTACTCATACTTGGGACCCCCTGACATCACTGGGCACGTCCGCTCAGTGCAGAACTCACAGATGGTGCCATAGATGAGATTGATGCGATTGAAGAAGTCTACCACATGCACAGCCACCCAGTCGTTCTGGTCCTCTCCGCTGGGTAACTGCACAGCTGCTCTCAGGTCCACACCTGAATTGAGGGATGCCTGAGCTCGTTTATGCAGCTCAAACCTCTGTGTCCCAGGTTCAAATTTCCTCTTGGGCCGGAAGGTCTTGTCCTTGTTGAACACTTGCTTCAGGGCTATGGACATGGTCTCCTCCTTGTCTTCCTTCCTTCTGCAGGAAGTGAAAAGGCACTTGGGACTTCTCAGTGAGAGATCACAGCCCAACAGAGTTTTCCACTGCCACCCCTCAGGCCCCAGTCTTGCAGCCTGTAGTTCTACTCAATTTCAAATGGCTCCTTCCATCTTCCTCTTGAATGATCTCCAAGGGAACCTCATGTTCCTTCCTAAAGACAGGAAAGAAAAGGGAACTTGTGAGTGCTCGCTTTGCATGTAAGAACTAATGAAGGCTTAGGAAACTTTCCACCTTGCATTGCTGGCTGTGTTTAGTGCCTCTGGATCTCAGTATCTGAATATGAGGGTTAAGCTATTGCCCTGCGGGCTACACTGGCACTGTGAGCTACACACACAGCTAAGGAAGAAAAGATACTACCCTCCTGTTCTTTGTGGTCCCTGTCAAATCTTTGCTGGCTCTTCTCTGTGTGAGCCTATAAGCTAAGGGCTTTTCCAAGGACTGTGTTAGCCAATGAGTCAGCCCTATTGTATATCTACTCCTTTTCGGAGATTAATGAGTAAGCATAGATTGTCTCTGACTTCCCTGATGGGACCAGGTGGCTATCATACCACTAGGAGTCTGTATCTGCTGGATCTGTAAGAAGTGATGAAAGTGGCCAGCTTAAGCCCTATAGGGGTCATGTGTAATGCAGCTGAGGAAGCTGAACTTCAGGAGAGAGATTAGGGAGGTGGGTATGACAGGAACAAGAGGGAAGGGCAAAGAGGAGGAAAAACAATAGGAGATGGAGGGAATGGAAGGGGAAGAAGAGGAAGGAAGGAGGGGAAGGAAGAGGAGGAGGAGTAGGGAAGAGGCAGCTGCACAGTGACTATTAAAACAGAGGGAACAGACACATGCCCAAGTTGCCATGGAGAGAACACAAGGAAGAAAGAGGCAGTAAGAGGGGGAAAGTGGCTCCTTCAGTTGCAGACGATCTAAGAAATGACCCAACACTCCTGACGTTTAGCTGCACTTCTTACCTTTGGGATACATTTGTTCTTCCAGGGTTGGTCAAATAAATCCTTGATCTTAATTCTGCTAATTTAAGTGAGTTGTTCCTTTGCGAGGAGCCCTAACTATGACAGCAGTTGTCATCTCTATAATGCACCACCCTTTATGTTCCTAATGTCACTCCCAGGAGCCCTTTGGAACGGGCTTGCTCTGGCAATGGACACGTTAGATGGACTTGTGGTACAATGTGACACCCTCTATCCACGTGCGGTACTGAGTAGTCGGATATAGACAGTATAACTAAGGAACTTTAATTAACTTGAATTTATTTAGCCATGCATGCTAGTGGCTACCACATGGTCAGATTCCTGGAAGATGAGCAGACTCACAGCAAGGATCATTCTTCCCGGATCTCTAGGTGATAGGATTACTACCTTGATAAGAGCCTGTAGCTAACAGGAGGCATAGCACCAGACTTGGTTTGTTGGTCCCTTGTAAAGGCACTTTCCACATGGCCCCTTACTCTGAACTGTGGTGTATTTCATCCTGCCTTTCCCACTGGTTCACGAAGCTCCCTACCCAGAGGTATGTTCCTTGTTACCAGAAGTTTCTCCAATAAAGAGTGGGCTGAGGTAAAGGCTGTCCTGCAGCTTTGGCACAGAAGGGGATAATAGGTCCACTCAAGCCAGACTGTAGCAAAGCGAGCCCAGAGCTGGGGCCAGCCTCAGAACAGCCAGGACAGAATCTGTCACAGAGGACTGGAGAAGGAGCTCTCTGAACTGCTTTATTCACACCCACAAGGGAGTCTACCACCCCATGTGAACATGCTAACATGGGAATATGTTCCTGAGCTATCTTAACAATTTTAAATTAGCACGTACGGTATTAGGTTTCACCACAGCATTTTCAAACAAAACTAATTTATGTTCGTTCTTCCGGAGAGATGGGATTCCCTCCTGCAGATCTTGCCCTTTGCTCAGCACAGTCACGGTCCTGCTACCACGTGTCTCTCCCTGTCTTCCCCACAGCCCGCTACTCACGCCCCCTCTCTTCTCCCGCCCTTCTCCTAATAGATTCCCCTAGAATGACACATGGGGGAAATCAATCCCTTTTCTTCTTTTCTTGTTACATTAAGCATATACTCCCTGCTCCCACAGAAAAGATCCATGTGGAAAAGATCACATGACACCCTGCCTGAGATCTTCTATGAAGTCATACTCCAAGGTAGTCTGGACTATCAACTATGTGGCTATCAAACTCTAGGGTGTGGGCAGGTACGGTCTCTCTTTAAAGGAAAACCTACTTGGGGGGCTGGGTTATAAGCTCGGTGGCAGAGCACTTACCCAGAATGCATGAGGCAGTAGATTCAACTCCAGTGCCACAGAAAAAGGGGAGGGAGGGAGGGAGAGAGGGATAGAGGGAGGGAGGGAGGGAGGGAGGGAGGGAGGGAGGGAGGGAGGGAGGGAGGAAGGGAGGAAGGGAGGGAGGGAGGGAGAGAGGATTGAAGGTGGGTTCCTTGAAGATTTAGTTTGCCTGAAAGAGCCTGAAGAAACCTGAACCCTTAAAAGGTCACTACCAAGATAAATGCATGAGTGAGAAGTTGGGAAGATAGAGAAATGGTGAGACTTTGCTCTTCTTTTTCCTCACAGTGACAGGTGGCTCCTTCCCTTTAGCAAAGAAGATTGGAGGGTAACAGGGTCCCATCAACTCCCATGGTCCTTAGAGCCATCCACTTCCCCCAATGCCATGACCCTCAGTACCTCTGATTCTGCTGCTGGTGCAACCTGTAGTGTCTACTCTCATGGACACCATGTGTCAGGCTCTCACGGACACAGATGTCTGACATCCCTGATGGAAACACATAAGAACTTCCTTTTTGGTGCAGTGGTGGCAAACACCTTTAATCCCAGCACTCGGGAGGCAAAAGCAGGCAGATCTCTATGAGTTTGAGGTCTACAGAATAAGTTCCAGCAAAGCCAAGGCTACACAGAAGCCTGACTCAGACCCACCCCCAAATAACTTTCTCAAAGTTGGCCAAGTGAGGCTCCTATATATAAAGCAAGGGCTATTGGGATGGATGAGAAAAGATCCATCGCACCTGTGATGCTAAATGAGTGCATCCTATGCATCTTTCAAGGTGTCAGAGCTATGCTGTGTAGAGACCTAAGAGTTTTAACCTACAAGGGGCACAGTGGATGTGCCTGGCCTTCCTTTCTAACCCTGTCTACATGGAGACCCTGCCTGTAGTGTACTCTTTCATCCCATTCAATGGCTGCAGCTAGCCAGGGTTCTGATCTCAGCCTGAGTATCTTAGCAAGTGCCTGTCTCAAAATGTTTATGAAACAAGTGAAAGGCTGGAGATGTAAGGGCGCTTTCCCAACAGGTGCAAAGCCCTGGGTTCAATCCCCAGCAATGTTATAAAAACCAGACACAGTGCTTATCACACATTAACGTGGAGACCCAAGGTTGTGTTTAAATACAGGTAGAAGCTTCAAGTTTGCACTTCAGAGAAGCTCCAAATGACACCAGGTCTACTGATCCATAAACAGGTGACACTGAGTATCGAGCCTGATCTACAGAAGGGGGCATGTTAGAAATGAAGACTCTCTAGATCTAAATCTGCACGTTAACAACATCTCAGAAACAAACACTTGAAGCCCTAGGTAGGACAGGTGATGGGCTGGATAACTATAGGGATAAAGGCACAACCTGGTTCTTGTGATTTTGTCAACAGTTTGCTTCATAACCAGAGTCTGCAGGTGAGGGCACATGTTGTGCTGAGGAGTGAGAAGAACTTAGTACTTTCAACTCAACTGCTTTGCTTGTGGGGGTGGGGTGGTATTGGGAGGGGGTGTTCTGGTCCGGGTGAATCTGGATAGCAGAGCACCAAGCACCTCCAAGCCTCAGGGAAAACCATTGTGTAATACCACATGGAGAGTGGCTACTGCCACTGCAGCCACATGCCAGAAGCTTCGTAGACTAATAGTGACATAGTGGTTATTCACTTTGTCTAGTGTCCAGAAAGAAAAGAACAAGTCATAAGTTTTGGGTCCTGGATAGAAACACTAAGAAAATTCCGTTATGAATAGCATCCATTATAATGCTGATTTTCAATAAATATTTGAAGTCAATCGCTATTTAATTGAAAAACATTTACTAAGGCCTATTTATTCAGCAGACACAGGACTAGGTACCAGCGGGGCAGAATTAATTGAAATTTGGCTTCTATCTATGAGGACCTCACGATCTGGTGTTCAGTGTGGTCAGTCTGAACTTTTGCTTTTCATGCCCCAAAGCCTGACACAAATGTGGACACAGATGCCATTCCTTCAGTGTGTTATTTGAGTTCGGAATGAAATGGGCACAAGGCCTTTGGAAAGAGAAAAACAGAAATCCAAACAAACAGCCTTAAACTGACAGCAGCTCCATGTGTTCTCCATATTTTCTGCTTAATAGATCAACTTTAGCAATAAAACAAATGCACAATAAAAATATGCAGAGAGAACTCAGGCTGGGCCAGGAGGGAATGTTGACAAGGTAGCTAAGCAACGCTGGCAAGGCAACGGTGAAGGAAGTTCTTATTTTTCTTTTCCTAGTGATATCTTCTGCCTCATTAGTTGAAAAATCAGAGTCCTTGCCAGGGATAAAGGAAGAAAGGAAAGGACTCTCCCACTGCCTCCTGGGAAATGAATCTCTCTGGCGTCTGAACGCTAAGAGGCCGTCATGGTGAGGCAGAAAGTTGATGGTGTCAGAAAGAGGAACAACGCTGATTAATGTTAACAGTGAGAAGCACATGGTTGGGAGAAGTCCCGAATGTCATCTTTGGCTTGGAGGCTGTCTCCGGGCAGGACACCTGACTATAGAAAAACCACAAGAAAACGCCCCTAAACACCCCACACGAAGGAGGCATAACCTGGCCCCTGCCTTGCTGGGGTCTAAGAGGCTGGAATGGTGATGGGCACAGACTTCACGGAAGATTTGCTGAACACACAAGTAAACAACAGTGAATGAAAAACATACGCACTAAACTAGGACCACAGAAGTTAAACAAAATTGTAGCTCCTAATTTGAGTCATTTGGAGATTCAGCCTCAGCCTTGGTAAACTCAAGAGTCAGCCACTGAATCTGAATACACCAATTACCCAGGGATGTTCTGGAATGGCATTCCAGTCTCCTGCAGGGACAGGACACCTGTCCACTTCTAATGGGCTCCTCCTGTCCTCG